TCCGGAACACACAGACACTGCCTGACCTCAGGATGACGTTATCATGATATCACGGCCGAGGGTTGCCGAGGCCATCATGGGCTCAGCCCATCACACTTGGTCATATAGCTTGGTGTCGCTAGCAGCGGTTGCTGGCGGGTTAATAAACCGTACCATATCCGGCTCGAAGCTGATCCTAGTCTGTTGAGGGTCCCGGGCAGCTCGGTATTGGGCTGCGGCTGCATATGTCGGTCTCCCCCTTAGCCTCTTCCTACTGACCACTTGGTAGCCGTCGTCGTTATCTTCTCTATTCGTAAAATCGAAGTTGAGTGGGGCGAGAGTAGCGGTGGTGGTACCTGTGTTGGGGTGTATAGTTGAGACTGCTTCGTAGGTCCGCGGTCGGAACTGGTAGGCCTCCTTGGCCTTTGCCAGGACCTTTGACTTTACAGAGCATTCTTTCGACCAGGCCGGGTGCCTCCCTCCGCAAACCGGACACCGGAGCGGGATCTCGCTGTTGTGAGTTGGGCATTGGGACTCTCCATCCCTGCCGCCCTCCCCATGGGCCTTCGTCCCACACCGGGAGCACAGCGCTGTCGATCTACAGTGGTGTTGCGTATAGCCCCATCTCCAGCATTTGAAGCACTGTACTGGACTCAGTGCAGGCCAGTACGGCTCACAGTCAAGTAGCTGGGGCCGTTACAAGTATAGTGACCGTTCCACCACCTTACTACAGTACGTCCCGACAGGCCTCTCCTTCCTCCAAAAGACAACAGCGAGCCAAAATGGCGCTATTAGCTTGAACGTAAGCCTGTTTATCATAGCCCTGTTGAAAGATATGGCACTCAGAACAAGGGCATGGAGTCACGGAAGCAGGTGTAATTTAGCAGGCTTGGAAGGCGTTCAGAGCAGTCAATTAGAAAGAAAGATATGAGCTTCAATCAACAGGCGAGCCGCCATGCAGCTCTCGGAAACCCATTCATAAGCGTTCCTACTTGTGATACCGTAGATTTGTTTTCCCAACAAGTACACCTTGTCCCGGATGCCGAGGGCCGACAGGAACCAGTGGCGGGGCCGGAACGCGAACGCGGAGC